CTCCCATGTTTATCAGTTTGAAATGAAATCTATTTTTCAAGTTGTTGACACCATGTATTTGATTGAAATTCAGGGTACACACACACACACATTACTTTCTCTTTCTCACACACATACACAGGTTTTGCGCTACATTACATTTACAGTTATGGTATTTGGCAGACGCCACTTATCCATAGCAAATTATAGAAGTGAAAGGTTTTACATTTACATTTAACTCATTTATACAACTGAGAAATTGAAGGTTAAGGGCCTTACTCAAGGGCCAGCAATGACAGATTGGCATTTCTGTGATTTGATCTCACAAATGGGACATGGATTAGAGACAAGAGACATACACACACTCAGACTTGTGCACATTTCTGCTCATCCAAAAAAATATTTGTTTCTTTCCCCGCATGATAAACAACGTTGCCAGGCAACGGGAAAATCAGAATTGAAGAGAGGATTAGGATATGGATTTGTGCGTGTGTGTGTGTGTGTGTGTGTGTGTGTGTGTGTGTGTGTGTGTGTGTGTACACATTCCTCTATATTCATCTGTATGCTTGCGTGAATGTGATTCTCTGAACATTATATGTAACATATCTTCGTGTGTGTGTGTGTGTGTGTTTGTAGGCAAGAGAGTATGCACAGAGTGGTGAATAATCAATCATTCATTACACATACACACTGCGCAGAGGCTGCAGTCAGCCATGTGTGCTCTTTCGTACAGACGTGCCACACACACACACACACACACACACACACTCACACACGCGGCTTCCTGAAAATAAATGAATGAATCCACTAGAATATTGTCTAGCTGAATCCAATAGTCTAGTATTGTCTTTCCTCTTATGTGGAAATCTCTATCATCTATACCTTTCTCTGTCTTTCTCCCTTTCTCTCTCTGTCATTGTGCACCTGTAAGCACACTTCACTGCACTGACACACCAAAAAAAAAGAAAACCAGGCATCAGCCAGACTTCTAGCTTTCACTGGAGAGCCCTAGGAGGAGTGTCTGTTTTGAATGTGTGTCGAATTGCTGTGTCTGCATCGTTACACAGCAATAATAATCATCCATCTATCCTCTTTACCACTTATCCTGCACAGGAACATGGAGGAGCCTGGAGCCTATCCCAGGGGACTTGGGGCACACCGTGAATGGGGTGCCAACCCTTTGCAGGGCATAGTCATGCACACACAAATTCACACACTACAGACAATTTGGAAACACCGCTAAGCCTACACCGCATGTCTTTGGACAAGGGGAGAAAGCAGGAGTACCTGGAGAAAACCCCCGAAGCACGGGGAGAACATGCAAACTCCGCACACACAGGGTGGAGGCGGGCTTCCGCCAACCCACAACCCTGGAGGAATAATCAAGGGGAAAAAAATTAGACCCAAAAACAACACTACGTAAGCCTGGTAGAGTGAGATGGCTAAAATCTAAATGGTAAAAGGGTGTACATAGACAATGGTATATTGCACACAATATCATAAGCCTACAATATACAACAAAAGGAAAATAACTTGACACCCTGTGATAGGTGAAGCAAAAATTTGGAAACGTGTTTGTTATTTCATCAAAATAAAAATGTCTCCTTTTGTCTTGAAATTTTTCATAGTGAAGGAAAAAGTGCACCTCTGCCTCAGTGCCCACACTGCCTCTCTTCTCTGGGCAGTCAACTCTACTGTTGTCTCTTTTCAATAGGAAGACTCTGGGCACTGAGCCTGTACTTGGTCAGGGTTTATCTCGGAGAGTGAACAGATACTCTGCCAGTTTATACTCTCTGTTTAGGGCCTGATAGCGCTGTAATCTGGACCAGGTGTGGGAGCTGTCTCAGTTCCAAATCGGTTGTTTGGATCAGTCTGGTAATTTGGTTTACTATGATTAGACTTTGGTAAGCAGTGCTGGAATAAGCCTGCTGGACGTTCTTCTTTACACGTTTTATATTTATGCAGGATTCCCATGCTTGTCCCACCTAGTGTAGTCCTCCATATTGTGGACTCCAGACCTCACATACGTATAGCTCAATAAGTGTATTAATGCAGTCCAAAAGTCTGCACCAAACTTTAATTGGGTCCAAAAAAGAATAAATAACAATATGAAGAAAAAATACATTTCTTACTTTTTAGTTTTCTATGGCACGAGAACTCACTCCTTACCCTTGAGTGAGGTATTATGTCTTTTAATATTACATTTATTGTTCACGTAGATTTGAAGATATTGTAATATTTACCCACTATACCAGTATAAAACCTGGTAGAATAGTCCATTTTGCCTAACAGAATTGAATGCTTTCTTAAAATTTACAAATACACTGTATGGCCAAAAGTCTTTCCCCAAAATGTTGCCACAAAGTTGGAAGCACACAATTCTATAGAATGTATTTGTATGCTGTAGCATTACAATTTCTCTTCACTGGCACTAAAGAACCCAGACATGTTCCTGCATGATAATGCCCCTGTGCACAAAGCAAAGTCCATAAAGACATGCTTTGCCAAGGTTGGAGTGGAAGAAATCAAGTGGCCTGCCAAAGCCCTGACCTCAACCCCACTGAACACCTTTGGAATGAATTTCAATGCTGACTGCAACCCAGGCTTCCTCACCCAGCATCAGTGCCTGACCTCACTAATGCTCTTGTAGCCGAATGAGCACAAATCCCCAACAGCCACGCTCCAAAATCTAGTGGAAAGCCTTCCTAGAAGAGTGGAGATTATTATAACAGCAAAGGGGAATAAATCTGGAATGGGATGTTAAACAAGCACATATGGGTGTGATGGTCAGGTGTCCACAAATGTTTGGCCATATAGTGTATTTTACTGTGTAGCATTACAATTTCTCTTCACTGGCACTAAGGAACCCAGACATGTTACAGAATTTGGTTGGAGTGGAAGAAATCAAGTGGCCTGCACAGAGCCCTGACCTCAACCCCACTGAACACCTTTGGAATGCCTAATGGCTGCCTAAATTGCTGTTAGGAAAACTAGAATTAGAATTACTTAATGTTTAAAAGATGGACAATTGACATCATCCAAAAGGAGCAATGGTCACAACAGGGATAGATGGACACATTACAGGATATTTGCAAAACTATCTACAGAATTCTAAGGAATATCAGTCTAAATAATTTGGTGTAGGGAGCACAAAATCTCAAATCTGGACAAATTTCTGTTTGGAGGAAAATCAAGGGATGCCACAGTATCGGTTGCCAACTGTTAAATACAGTGGAGGATCATAATGGTATGGGCAGCCTACTCATGGAAATCATTAGGTCCAGTGATTGCCTTGTATCGTCATGCCTTGCATAACTGCCAACAAATATAAGGCAGCTTTACAGAACAAGGTGCACCATATAGTGTACACACTCTTCCCTGATGATGTTCCCATGCTGCTACAATTATTCAAGAGTGATTTGATGAACAGCAGGATGAAGTGAAGTACTCTCCAAAGCCTAGAAGAATCACTAGTCTAGAAATAGATAACTATGCCACCCCTCAAAAAGATCAAGAGACATTTTCTTCTTGAAGAATGGTCCAACATCCCACCAAAAACCATTCATTACATTTTAATTTTCTTTCCTTGTCCTATCTTTCTTCCCACCTCTTCCTGTCCTGTCGCTCTCACTTTTTTGAGACTCTTGTCTCCCCTTGTCTGTTTTGTTCCTCTCCCACATCATTCTTCCTTATCATTTCTCTCTCCAGCTCTAGTCCTCTGTCGTCCAACATGTTGGCTGTCGGACTCTTCGTGCCCCTTCTGTTGCTACGGGTGGGCTGTTGCCGGGCGACCGAAGTTCCAGAGGATGCAAGTGCCGAGTTCTGGGTCAGACTGTACCATCAGCTCCAGATGGCAGGGACCGATGACAACATCATCTTCTCTCCGCTGAGCGTGGCGATGGCACTGGGCATGGTGGAGCTCGGAGCTCGAGGGTCCTCACTGCAGCAGATCAGACAGGCTGTGGGTTACACCCAGTACAGAGAAGGTAAAGAAAGGGCCTAAAATCTGAAATTTATCATCATTTATCAAAATATAATTACAGAATTAGAAAATCAAGTGCATGGATAACTACACAATTAGGTAAGTATAATGTAATGAGCAAATCGTTCAGGATTAAGAACCTCTAAGAAGTGTTATTGTAGAGGGGCGTGTGTGTGTGTCTGTGTACTCCCACAGATGAGGAGTTCGCTGTCCTCAAGAACCTAACCCAGGCTCTGATTGGAGATGAGGCCCAGTACGTGGTGCATTTGGCAAACTCACTCTTCCTGCAGACCGGCGTTCACTTTAGCCCTGAGTTCCTGAAGCTCATTAAGCATTATTTCCATGCTGAAGCAGAAACAGTGGACTTCAACGAGTCAGCTGCTGTGGCTCAACACATCAATGCCTGGGTCCAGAACCACACTGCAAGTAAGTGCACAGCCACTGAGTTTATTTCAGTTCAGATCATTTAAAGTAAGCAGGAAAGCTCTTCAGAGCCAAATGTCTCATATCCAGAGAGGCCTTAAGTTGAAAACACAAGACAATACAGAACATTGAGTCTAAAGGTTTTCATATTTTGCATTTTTTCCCCTTTTATGTCCGGTGCAGATAAGATTCATGACCTGGTTTCGGCAGAGGATTTCAGCAGCTTGACAAGAGTAACACTGATTAACGCGGTGTACTTCCGAGGCAGCTGGAAGAATCAGTTTCGACCCGAAAACACAAGAACATTTTCCTTCAGTAAAGATGATGGCAGTGAAGTGCAAACGCTGATGATGTACCAACAGGGTGACTTTTACTATGGTGAGGAATACAGGCAGGTCTGAATGCACTAACAGTAATTTTTTTTTTATTTTATCAGTTATAAACCAGTAATATAATTTTGTAACGATATTTCCTCAAAGGGCATTCCTGTCCTTGGTGCACGCTGCTATAGGAAAAGTGATTTATTCCTCTTACACCACAGCAATTTACCAACACTAAAATTTTTTTTCTTTATTTATGAGTGACACATCATATTTTTTAACTGTTTACTAAGCTATGCTTAATAGGGACTAGTGGTTAGGCCACAGTGCTCTCACCGCTACAGCCGGGGTTCGATTCCCAGCTAGGAAGCCAACCCTGGCCACTGGGGTTGCATGCAACAGTGCACTCTCAGTGCCAGTCCCAAGCCTGGATAAAATTGGGGAGGGTTGCATCAGGAAGGGCATCCGGTGTAAAAACTGTCCCAAATCAAATATGCAGACCAACGATCCATGGTGGTGACACCTAGTGGGAGCAGCCAAAAGAGGAATAACAACATGAATGTTTGGGGGGGGTTAGTTCCTGTGCTATAGCATGTAAAAACAGTCATCTGAGCCTATCCCAGGGGACTTGACCTTGGGACCCATTGTAGGGCCCAATCACACACACTCACACAGCCGTTCACATACTACGAACAATTAGAAACCAAACACTGCTGAACCAGTAGAAGATGATTAACACCACTAACTCTAATTAACTCTACACCTACAAGGTGCACCAGCAACTTGGGTGCTGTCTAAAGGCCTTAGCATGCGTAATGCAGATATGATGTTCATCTGGCTTCCGCAAACAATATGACATAATTGCGGATCACATGGCAGCTGGGTGAACCCATGCTGTCTGCACATTGTAAAAGGCAATCTTTTTCTGTGAATGAAATTTTAATGGTGCCATCTACAGTATTGGAGCACTCGTATGCAGTGGCCAGTGTTAAACCGCAGCAAGTACAGTAGATGAGCTTGTAAGCTTGCGTGACTGGTTTGATCATTGTCTGCCTTGATAAAGAAAGTGTACACAGTGATAAACAGGCATGTCTCTAAAGAAGATATAATAAAATCATTCATCAAAGTTCTTAATCAATGCTCTTAGTACAACAGTGCTCATGTCGCCATATCAGAATGTATCCAGGCCAGCAGGCATAAATAAACATTTAGGCTTATATTTAAGTTTTACTATTGCCTTGACTATCACACCAGTAAACAAGAAATCTTATATTTTATGACATAATTAAACTAATAATTACATGAATTAATTAATTAAAGGAATTGTTTACTTCTATAATGTGTGCAGATGTTTTAAATTAAAGCAGGCATACTAGAGGAAGATACAGAAGGGGACCCCTGTACAGTTCACATGTCACTGTGTTGCACCTTTTCAAAATGTCAGCACAATTTCTTTTCACCACTTGTGCAGGTGAGTTCAGTGATGGCAGCTCAGAGGCAGGAGGAGTGTATCAGGTGTTGGAGATGCCATATGAAGGTGAAGACATGAGCATGATGATTGTTTTGCCAAGACAGGAAGTTCCTCTGGCCTCATTAGAACCGATCATCAAGGCCTCGCTGATTGAGGACTGGGCCAGTAACGTCAAGAAGCAGAAGGTGGAGGTTTACCTGCCCAGGTGAGAGACCTAGATGATGGAGTGGGAATTGGCATTGATTAAATGAGGAGATATATATAATATCTTTAAGAGTAATATATTTCCTATGGCTGTTATTAACCAAGGATATTTAAAAGGGTGAATTGCGACTGGGTGAGCCATCAGGCAAATAATTTCTTTTTTACCGTGGCAACTTTACCCTTCTGTGATATTACTGAGGAAAATTCTTAGCATTATCTTTCTAACTTAAGTATTCAGAGAGTTTGGATGGTTTGGAAGCTGTTTGGGTTGTAAAATTAGGAGAATATAATATTCCCAGTGAGTGCATTGTAATCTCATGGGCGTTATATTGTGTAGTGTAGGCATTATATTTTCGGGTTGTCCGTCCAAGATTCTCATTAGTGCGATATCTCAAGAACAAGTGGTTGAATGATTGTAGGATTTATTCAGAATTATCACTGTAACCAGCAGACGAACTGATTAGATTTTGGAACTGATCCAAACAGGATCAAGTTCACAGCAAGGTCAAATGTCTGAAATATTTTTTCTGTTTTTCTGTTGGAAGTATATTTTAAGGGTATTTCTGGCATACAAATTAGTAACAGGAAGGACTAGACTTGTGGCAGGGGCATCCTTGTGGCAGGGGCATCCTTGGCGTCGAGCTCTACTTGCTTTTGTTCTGGCAAATTTTTTTAGCACTTGCAAATGTTCACGCCTCAACATGGCTGCAAAGCTAGGTCCAAGAGCCACAGATTCTCTAAAATGGTGTACTTAGATTTGGGAGCAGAGAGCAGAGATTGATGTTTGAGAATTTCAGGCTTTTGCCTTTTTTGTTTTTTTAGCTATCTTTTTTAGCTATCAATACAAGTAGCTTTGGGTGGATCCTCGTGTTCTCCTCTTTCATTTGGTTTAAAACCAAAATTCTGCCAAATGGAGGGTAAGGGGAATGAAGCAATATTATTGATTATCACTGTATTTCAATAAGGAAATACTGCAATCATTATTTTTAGATATCACCCAGCAATGAGGTCTAATGATTAGCCTGGGTGCTCGGGACAAGCAGATTGTGTGTCTGGGCTATTAGTGTTCTATTCATAGTTGCCCAGCTGACAAGTACATTTAGTAGGTTAGTAGTAAGTAGTTGCCAGCACCTTTTTTCCCCTGTCCACAGAAAAACACCCTGTTGAAAATAACTGAAATGTTCGTTAGCTCATATGGTTTATAATTGAGCAGCACACTATTAGCATGCACTGCCTTGCCATCTGCTGCATTACACACATCAATCAGGAATGCTTTCTGGTCACTGGTCTCTGCAACAAGCAGAGACGTGCAAATGGTGACGAACCAGAGCAAAACACAGAACAGTGATTCAAATGTCATACCATGTTTCTCACAGCGTGTCGAGCAAAAATAGATGCGACTTTTTATTGATATTATCAGGAGTGGACAAAGGAGTATGGCTACACAGAATCTTTCCCTCACCAGGAATTTGAATTCACTTATTATATATAGACAGTATTATTGCATTTGACTAGATATGACCAGATCGTCATACTTGGGGGGTTAAATTAAGTTTTAAGCTATTTTTACCATAGTTAAGCTGGTTTCTGGACAACCAACACATGAGTGTGGGAAGCACATCGGGGTTTTGACTTGCCCAGTGGTCTAGCTAATGAATTTATGATGGACCGTGTTGCAGTGTGCAGCAAATTGTACAGTTGTACAGTCTTACACTATTTTATCATTCGAAAACGTATCTTCATGTTTCTGGAATCAGTTTTAACACCTCTGTGCCCATTGATGAGGCACTAAATGAAATAATTGATTCTTAATCTGTCTGATGTCTCATACAGTATGTACATTTTGTGTTAAGGATGAAAAACTGCCACCTCGTTCTTAACGCTGTGCAAGATTATATTCTTTTGATTTATTTGGATAATGATGCAGGTTTAAAGTGGAGCAGAAGATTGACCTGAGAGACGCATTACAGCAGCTCGGCATCAAGAACATCTTCACCAAAGAAGCCGACCTGTCGGCCATGACAGCTGAGACAGAAGGTGTGTGTGTGTGTGTGTGTGTGTGTGTGTGTGTGTGTGTGTGTGTGTGTGTTAACATCTCTCAGAGATTACAAGCACATACAGGAAGTGTCATACTTCTGAGTCTTGCTTGAGTGTTGCTTGAATATTATCATTATTATTATTATTATTATTATTATTATTATTATTACTATTATTATTACAGTAGTGTTTCCTTGACTTTATCTCTCTATTCACAATCATCCTTTTCCTTTCCCTGTTCCTGCATTTCATTTATTCATCCATCTCTCTCCTTTCTTCTATATTTTCCCTCTAACTGTTGTATAATCCTTGCATCCCTCTCCCTATCCATCAATTTTTTCATGACTTCTTTTCATCCTTTGTGCTTTCCATTTCACTCTATCCATTCCCCTTTACATCTCTCCTTCCTTCTGCCATTCCTATATTGTCTCCTTCATTTCATTCCATTTCATTTGGCCTATCCTCTGTCCCTTTTTCCTCCTTCCTTTCACACCTCTCCCTCTTTTCTGATCTGCAGAAGGGAAGGATCTGTTCATTGGGAAAGCCGTACAGAAGTCTTACCTGGAGGTGACAGAAGAGGGGGCAGAGGGAGCTGCCGGATCAGGTGCACTCATTCATTTTATCCCTCTCTCTCTTTATGTCATTATTAGATTCTCTAATGTAATTACACACAACAGTGACGAACAGACAATCTTACTTCATTTCTCATTTCTTAAATCCCTTTTTTTTCATTTCTCTGCTTCCTTTTTTTACTTTCTCCATCATACATTTGTCTCAACATCAACCAAATCACATTAAGTTTGAAGATAGTAGGTGTTCCATGATTGAATTTATTGCTGAATGCCATGGTTTCAGTGGTAGTGCCTCGATAATGCAGATAGTGCCGATAGGCCGTCGTTACACCTATGTGTTGAGAGGTGTGTATCATTTTTACAACACAAAACATACAGTAGCATCATGTTGCTGTCAGGGTGAACCCACTGTATAATAGTTTTACCCTACATCCTCCTACAGTTCACCTCTTCCTCTCCACACTTTATTATTCCTATCACTTTAAGCTTTTACATATTCATTTTTGTAAGAGCTCCCTCTGGTGTTCAGTCAGTGTTCCTGTATTGAGGAATACTCATTTTCTCACAGGACCAAGAGTTCAGTTTATATATATTAATATGTGTGTACATATCTGCTTCCAAGACTACATCATCTCAATATGTGATTAACAAGACCAAGCTTCCATCATTAGAACTGACAGGAACCAGAGCCCACATCTTCTGTACTGGGACTGACAGAAAGAGTCTACACTTCCTTCTCTGGGACTGGCACAGAGGCCACACCTCTTTCTCTGGGACAGACATGGACAAAGGCCATGCCTGTTTCTCTGGGACAGAGTAGCACAGAGGCTATGCCTCCTTCAATGGGATAGACTGACACAGAGGCCGTGCCTCTTTCTCTGGGACAGACATGGACAAAGGCCATGCCTGTTTCTCTGGGACAGACTAGCACAGAGGCTATGCCTCCTTCAATGGGATAGACTGGCACAGAGGCCGTGCCTCTTTCTCTGGGACAGACTGGCACAGAAGCTGCACGTCTTTCTCTGAGACAGACTAGCACAGAGGCCACACCTCTTTCTCTGACAGACTGGCACAGAGGCCATGCCT